GGTTAATTAATGTACCCTTATTGTAAAGTGTTACTTTTTTATAGTATTGTCTGTTCTCCAGTAGTATACACATTTGTTAGTTGAATTTAATTATTTACAGAACCAAAATAAAGAGGTTAAAACCCTATCTCTGAAATCCTATTTCTGTCAGGAGCTAATTGACTACCTGCGGCACCACTCTCACAGCGCCCTGTATGCCACTTCCATGCCCCCTCCTGTGGTCCAGCAGATAATCACCTCTATGAAGATCATCATGGGAGAAGACGGGACCACACTGGGTAGCTACCAGAAAACCCACAAAACATTAATCTCTTAAAAGCTTATCTCTCCTCTGTAGAGGAGCACTTGTTCAAACCACAGCTTCAGTCATAATCTGGCCTCAAAGATAGTGGAGCAAAGGATTCCATATATTACAGTGGTTTCCATTTGCACACGGTATGTTGCATGCTATATATGGCAAGTGGAAATGTGAATACTGTATGTACATTTGATTTTTGGCTTTGCACAGCATGCCAAAATGGAAGCTAATGATACAAGCTTAGTGCATGATAGACTGAAGAAGCTCCTCTTGGTAGTTTTTTTTCTTATTTGTTGCTGTAACTCTGAAATGTCCCAACAGTTGGACTCAGCTTCTGTGTTAGTAGTCATGATGTGTCAGTCTGTTGAGTTTTTATTTTGTCTGGTGGTACTTAACATGACCACATGAGGGCAGTATAGCCCTGTTACTAGGATTTCATTAATTCCTGCAATTGTGAGCTCTGTAACTAAAGACTGTAGCAAATGATTGACTGACATACTGTGATTACTGTGGCACTATTCCTATTTCAACTCACATCACCTTTACCCACTTTTGTACTTTGTACCTTCAGATAAGATAAGATGCCATTATTGTCATTGTATTCAGGATACAATGAAATTACAAGTGCTTGTCAGCAAACATGCACATTCATACTGAACGTGCATGTTTGCTGACATTTAGTGCTTCAGAAATGTTTCATTTCCAGACAAGTGATAAAGGCCATCATCAAGGGCCAACTGGCAATTGTTTGTCTTGATGCCATGTATACCCCCTTCCTTCTAGATACAGTGTGCACTGTGTGCACAATTATTAGGCAAGTGAGTATTTTGACCATATCATCATTTTATCTATAATTTCCAACTCCAAGCAGTATAAACTTGAACGCTTATTGGGCTTAATGCATATCAGGTGATGTGTTTTAGTGTAACGAGGGAGGGTGTGGCCTAAGGAGATCAACACCCTATATCAAGGTGTGCATAATTATTAGGCAGAATGTTCTCCTCTGGAAAAATGGGCCAAAAAAGAGATTTAACTGACTCTGAAAAGTCAAAAATTGTAAAAAGTCTTTCACAGGGATGCAGCACTCTTGAAATATTTAACATATTGGGGCGTGATCACAGAACCTTCAAACATTTTATAGCAAATAGTCACCAGGGTCGCCAGAAACGTGTTGAGAAGAAAAGATGCAAATTAACCACCAGAGATTTGAGAAGAATCAAATATGAAGCTACCAGGAACCCATTATCCTCCAGTGCTGCCATATTCCACAACTGCAACCTACCTGGAGTGTCAAGAAGTACAAGGTGTTCAGTTCTCAGAGACATGGCCAAGGTAAGAAAGGCTGAAACCTGACCACCTCTGAACAAGACACATAAGTTGAAACGTCAAGAATGGGCCAAGAAATATCTGAAGACAGATTTTTCAAAGGTTTTGTGGACTGATGAGATGAGAAGTGACTCTTGACGGACCAGATGGATGGGCCCGTCAATAACGGACCCAGAGCTCCACTTCGACTCAGACGCCAGCAAGGTGGAGGTACTGGTCTG